CCAAACCTGCTGAAGAGACACAATTGCAACGGCAACAAGCACAAGTTTAATCCAGGGCAGGGTGACATTGGCTCTACAGTTTCCAAAATCTGACATGGGCAACACAGCTCAGGTAAACAAAAGGTTAATGATATGCAGGCAGTTACAAACATCTCACTTACAAATGACTCCTGTAAATATAAAGGGCCAAACATATGAGTCTACACCAGGCATGGGCAAACTTGGGCCCTCCAAGTGTTTTGGACTTCAACTCCCACAATTCCTAACAGCCTACTTCAACTCCCACAATTCCTAACAGCCAGTATTTTAAAGAAATTAAAAAACACTGGGTGAGACGGCAGTGTAATGTATCTGGACAGGGAGTCCGGAGGGTAAAATAGGATTTGATTGCACTAACAGACGAAATAAAGCGCTTCCGAGGGCATTTGCAGGAATCGGTCAGGTTAGGGAATTATTGTTCATTCATTCAGTGAAGGCACACTGGAACAGCCAAGTTTTCAAGCTCTTCCTAAAGACTGCCAGGGTGGGGGCTTGCTTGCCTAATATCTCTGGGGAGCATTGCTTAGCCGGTATTGCACCACCTGACATCCACCGGGTGAGTACGCATGCCCAGTGTGGAACACATCTCACCACACTAAAACAGTAGATGTGGCTCTTAATGAGACATGCCGCATTATCACGGGGTGTCTGCGCCCTACACCACTGGAGAAATTACACTGTTTAGCCGGTATTGCACCACCTGACATCCGCCAGGAAGTGGCAGTCAACAGTGAAAGGACCAAGGCAGAGACATCCCCAGCTCATCCCCTGTTTGGGTATCAGCCAGCACGTCAACGACTTAAATCAAGAATAGTTTTCTAGATCTACAGAGACACTCGCTGGAACACCTCAGCAAGCGAGAGTCCAAAAGTGGCAGGCTCAAACCCAGAACCTCAATCATGGCTGATACCAGATGAGAGACTCCCCCCTGGGCACACAGAAGACTGGGCGACTTGGAAGGCACTGAACAGACTGCGCTCTGGCACCACGAGATGAAGAGCCAATCTTAAGAAATGGGGCTACAGGGTGGAATCCACGGCATGCAAGTGCGGAGAAGAACAAACCACTGACCACCTGCTGCAATGCACCCTGAGCCCTGCCACATGCACAATGGAGGACCTTCTTGCGGCAACACCAGAGGCACTCCAAGTGGCCAGATACTGGTCAAAGGACATTTAATCAACTACCAAGTTTGCAAAATTTGTGTTTTTTTTAAATCTGTGTTTGTTTTGTTCTGTTAGAAATGTAATACAATGGTATGGTTGCTGATGACACGATAAATAAATATTGGCTAGCAAACCAGCCAGCTCCAACCAAGTCTGGCTCCTTCATGGGGTCATTCAAACTGCCCCCCCCCCCTCCGGCACCCTATGCCTTGCTTGGCTGCAGGTGGGGCAAGTCTACAGAAACGGTGCTGCGTACGAATAAGTCATGGCAGGTATATTATGCAGGGGAACCGGTGAGAGTGGAAGCCTCTTTGGGCCACCCAAAATACTTTGGAGGGATGCATGTGGCCCGCAGGCCATATGTTAGAATCATAGCGTTGGAAAGAGACCACGAGGGCCATCCAGTCCAACCCCTACCATGCATGAAAACACAATCAAAGCACCCCTGACAGAGAGCCATCTAGCCTCTGCTTAGAAACCTCCAGAGAAGGAGACTCCATTAGAATTTTTTTCCTCATGTTTAGGTGGTGCATTTTTTTTCTTTTAGTCTGAATCCAGGTTGTGCAGGTCTGGTGTAGATGCTCCCTTAGACTGAGTATTTTTTATTCTGTGCAGCTGTGGTTGATCATGTCTTGGGCTTAATGTCACTTCTAGGGCCTGCCTCCCAGGACATCACACACAGACATCTGCACTTCTCAGATTTCGGTCTGGGATACTCCCAACCTGGCAACCCTAAATATACATATGCATCAATTTCATGCAAAACAGATGAGTGCTCGCTTGCTTTCCCCCCATATGCCATATAACCTCAACAATTCCATTTAGAGGTGGGGATGAGGAATAAGATCTGGGAGGAAGGAGGGGAAAATATCCACCCCAGAGGAAAAAAGCATTGCGGGAGGTGTAGCAATTAACCGGCAAACATGAGTCTCAAAGGGATGCTGACACAAGCAAGCTCCGCTGCTAAGATGGAAAATAAAACCAGGCCCATCAGGGTTGCTTTTCATGCGCAAGGCGTTTGCGTCTGCTGTTGCATTCAGAATACACATCTCCAAAGGGAAGGAATGATGACTTGCTGCTCCTTGTGAATATGCCAAAAACTACTGGTAATTTACACAAGCTTTCTTCTCTCTCTAACATTACCTTGATTGGGTTGTTGTAGGTTTTTTCGGGTTATATGGCCATGTTCTAGAGGCATTCTCTCCTGACGTTTCGCCTGCATCTATGGCAAGCATCCTCAGAGGTAGTGAGGTCTGTTGGAACTAGGAAAAAGGCTTTATATATCTGTGGAATGACCAGGGTGGGAGAAAGGACTCTTGTCTGCTGGAGCTAGGTGTGAATGTTTCAACTGACCACCTTGATTAGAATTTGATTTCCTGGCAGTACCTGGAGCAATCTTTTGTTGAGAGGTGATTAGATGTCCTTGTTTGTTTCCTCTCTGTTGCTGTGGTGCTCTGTTGTGCACAGCAAAACAAAAACAGAGAGGAAACAAACAAGGACATCTGATCACCTCTCAACAAAAGATTGCTCCAGGCACTGCCAGGCAATCAAATGCTAATCAAGGTGGTCAGTTGAAACATTCACATCTAGCTCCAGCAGACAAGAGTCCTTTGTCTCACCCTAGTCATTCCACAGATATATAAAACCTTTTGCCTAGTTCCAACAGACTTCACTACCTCTGCGGATGCTTGCCATAGATGCAGGTGAAACGTCAGGAGAGAATGCCTCCAGAACATGGCCATATAGCCCCAAAAAACTTACAACAACCCAGTGATTCTGACCATGAAAGCCTTCGACAATACGTTACCTTGATTTCATCTCCACTGTAGTATTAATGCAGCTTGAAATGGCTTTAACTGCCCTAACTCACTGCTGTGAAATCCTGCGGTTTGCAGTTTGGAAAGGTACCACTGTGATTTGGCAGAGAAGAACTTGCAGAACTCCATAGCACTGGATCCCAGAGCACCAAGCCAAAGTGGTATCAAACTGCATTATTTCTTCAGTATGAATCAAGTAAGGGCAAACTTCACCCCTCCAGGTGTTGTAGACTTTGACTTCTACAATTCCTAACAGCCTCAGGCCCTTTCCCACCTGGACTACTTATGTGGATGGAGCAACAGGACAATTCTCTAAAAGACTGGCCTTGCAGGGAAGTTATTCTTCACTAAGTACCTTTTCGAAGGAAAGGAGGAAAGAACAGTTTTAGCAATATATTTCCTGTTGCAAGAAAAATTTCGAAAATTACACCAGTTTCAAAAGACATTTGCAATTTGGGGTTTGTTCGATGGAAATTTGCACATGGTTGCTTTGCACAGAAAAACATTCATTTTCTGCACTGTTTATGCCCCCTGTGCAGAAAATGCTGTTTCCTGTGAAAAAAGTGATTTCTATGCAAAGCAACCATGTGCAAATTTTCTGCAAAACAGCTCTAGAACTTGTCGAAGGCTTTCATGGCCGGAATCACTGGGTTGTTGTAGGTTTTTTCGGGCTATATGGCTATGGTCTAGAGGCATTCTCTCCTGACGTTTCGCCTGCATCTATGGCAAGCATCCTCAGAGGTAGTGAGGTCTGTTGGAACTAGGAAAAGGGGTTTATATATCTGTGGAATGACCAGGGTGGGACAAAGGACTCTTCTCTGCTGGAGCTAGAACTCTAAAATTGCTGGAACTCTAAAATTGCAACAGCACAACAACAGAGAGGAAACAAACAAGGACATCTAATCCCCTCTCAACAAAAGTTTGCTCTAGGCACTGTCACTGCCATTATATGCTAATCAAGGTGTCAGTTGAAACATTCACACCTAGCTCCAGCAGACAAGAGTCCTTTGTCTCACTCTGGTCATTCCACAGATATATAAAGCCTTTTTCCTAGTTCCAACAGACCTCACTACCTCTTAGGATGCTTGCCATAGATGCAGGCGAAACGTCAGGACAGAATGCCTCTAGACCATGGCCATATAGCCCGAAAAAACCTACAACAACCCAGCTCTAGAACTGCAAATATTCTCATCAGTGCTGGATTCTTCTAGCCACTCAAAAAACATGGTTTTGACTCTTTTTATAATAATTCCAAATATTATTTTCATCCCAACACTCCAGTAAATACATACCAAATGAATACCAATCAGCAACACCAAAGATTCCCAGTTCTTAACCCAGTTTTCTATATCCAACAGTTTCTGGATATTTACAAAACACCCAGTTCTTGAAGACAATGCAATGTGATATAATTGTGTCAGTTATGTGTTTTGGTTTAGAATCACAGAGTTGGAAGAGGCCACAAGGTCATCCAGCCCATCTCCCTAACATGCAGCAAAATACATGCAAAGCACTCCTGATAGATAGTCATCCAGCCTCTGCTTAGAAACCTCCAGAGAAGGAGATGCCATGAAATTCCAAGGCAGAAGTGTATTCCATTGTCAAACAGTTCTCACCATCAGAAGGTGCTTTCTAATATTTATGTGGAATCTCTTTTCCTGCAATTTGAACCCATTGCCCTATTGTGTCCTAGTCTCCTCAGAGGCAGAATGTGAGCCTTCCCTTCTCAATGCAACAACCTTTCAGATATTGAAACATGGCACTCATGTCCTCACTCAGCCTTCTTTTCTCCAAGCTAAACATACCTAGCTAAACAACATCGACCCAACATGATACAGCCACTTCCCCAAAAGTAGTTCCATTTCTGCCACCATACATCTCATCTCCTTGTACCCCCTTCTCTGCTTCTTGTGACAAAGCATTCCCCCATGCAACCAAGCATTATGTTACTTAGAAAAAGCAAAATGACAGAACTCACCTGCCTTCAGGTCCAAGGGCCCAACAGCCTGAGATCCTGACTCCTGAGTAGTTGGGAGATCTATTCATTTCCCTCTTTAGATGTAAAAGGGTCTAAGTGTGAGAGTTTATGGGTTCTTTGTGTGTCGGTGTTGAACTTGGGTGTCTCATCCCAAGCTCAAAACATACAGGGAGCACATGTGGAAGCAAACTGAGTGCATTCTGACCATTACAGTGGTTTGTAATATAGGTCTATCCTTTTGGATAATACGGGATGGAAACTAGGACTTGGGAAGTGCCTGCCAAATATTTTGAGAAAACCTGAAAGGCTCTGGTGTGGCACCCACGAGAGAAGGACCGGGAGAGAAGAAGGGAGAACCGGGCGAGAGTTGCCTAAGAGGATAGCTTAACTTAGAGATTATGTTCATTACCTGATATTAATAGCACTGACTTTGCAAAGAGAAGAGCAGTTACACAGTACAACCCGGAGTAGCCCCTCCGCTCTTGGGAGACCAAAACACGGCAGCTGGCCCAAGGCCATGGACGGCTGTTTATGAGACATTCAGAGTCTATCCTGGGCTCATCGGAGAAGCACTATGAGGCAGCACAGCTACATTGCATCTTGTTGCTCAGTTATGCCTACTTTGATCGACTCCCTGAAGCCTTTTACAGGCATCTACCTGAGATCTCTTCAGTTGGCCATGCAGGAGAGACAACCTCTAGGTCCTTCTCTATGCAAAGTGTGTGCCTTACAAAGAAGCTCTGTACCTACCTGGGCGACAGGAAAGGTCTTAAGAAGCTAATAATGGTTCATTCTGGATGGAAGTAACTCTCTCATCCCAAAGGTGGGAAACGGTTGGACTAGATCCTGCATGAACAATGGATGTGACCCACCACTGAGCTTTGGACCCATCCTAACGTCATTGGATAAGAAAGGTACAGTACGACCAGTACCAATCAAAATTGTTATTTTGAAAGATGGGGAGGGATATTGGCTGGCAGAACATGAAGGACATACTAGATCAGCAAGGCATTGCAGACTAGAAGAACATGGCCATGGAAAGAGGCAAGAACATGGCATAGTGGTTTGAGCATTGGATAAGGCTCTGGAGAACAATGTTTGAATCCTTGTTTGGCTGTGGAAACCTTTTGGGTGATCTTGGGTGAGTCTCACACACTCTGTCCCAGGTGACAGAGTCTTCGGAGGGTCACGATAAATTGGAAACAACTTGAAGGCATGCAACAATGAGATAGCGGGGGAAAGACTAAACAGAGATTCAAAGATTTAATAGTTTGGTCTTGCTTCCCCAATATCAAAAGAGGGGGAAGAAGCTCAGAAAAGGAAGAATTTTGGAAAGTGTATACAATTGTAGTGGAGTTGTAGTCCAACAGCATCCAGAAGGCCACATCTTCCTCACCCTGGGATTATGGATCATCTATAGTCAGTTCAGCTGAAATTCTTTACTGTTATTGTTGTGTGCCTTCTGACTTATGGTGACTGTCATAAGGCTTTCCTGGCAAGATTCCTTCAGACTCCATTGCCATCCTCTAAGGCTGACAATGTACCCAGTTGCCGAGCCAGGATTTGAATGATGGTCTCCCAGAATCCCAGCTTAACATTCAAGCCACCACTGGATCCTCTCTCCTGGGATTTTCTCACACTTCATCAAATTATGAAAGGATACCAAGACACCAGATCCCACCTGATCTTGGAAGCTAAGGTGGGTTGGCTGTGGTTAGTATTTGGATGGGAGATTGCCAATAAATCCCAAGTGTTGTAGGCAATATTTAAGGAGAGGATGAGGTAAAACTTCTTCTGGGTCTCCCCTATCTTAGAAAACCCAAAGGAATTCCTGAGGTCACCACAAATCAACAAGGACCTTGAAGGCGCGCGCACACACACACACAAGGGGTCTTGTGTAAGCACCATTCTGTGAAAGCCAGCTCAGCAGGGCGCTGAGCCATAAAGCCACTTAAGAATAAACTTGCTTCTTCGCCACCTTGTGCTACGCCCCCTGCAAGGAATTCCCACTCTGCATTCCCAGCAAGTTGACGGGATATTTGACCCAAGTGTCAAATGACAACCCAGGTTCTGTTGTGGGAAATAAACCCAGCCCTTAGATACCAAAACTGAACCCGCAGCAAGTCCAAAGTTGCAATAAGAGGTAAGATGCCACACAATCTTTTGTAGTGAAAGGAATGGCAAAGCTAACAGAAGAAAGGCCTTTCTTTGCAACTTTCCAAAGTTGATGTACAATAAGATCCCCTTAGTCAGACCATAGTTAAATGAAACTATGGATGCGGCCAAATGCCAGTGAATTATCTCACTTCTAGTGCCTGCACTGGAAGATCTAGAGATTCCTAAACAGGGAATCTCTCTAGGAATTTCCTAAGTCCTCCAATGCAACTCTTGTGTAGTAACTTCCAAGGGAAGTATTCTGTAGGATTGTCTGGGGGGGGGGGGGTGCGAGCAAATTTCTCCAGAGACTATTTTCCCTCTGGATATAAGTCCTATGGAGATCTTACAGTATATTTTGGCAAATCCGAGGATTGCATCTAGCTTGTACTTTACCCATTCCTGATTTACTCCATATGAAGGGCTTTGTGTGTAGGGAAACCATTTAAGCAAGGATTTGAAGATCCGTTCTCTTGGCCTTTGAGAGTAACTGTTCCTCAGAATCCGGCCAATTCTAAATTCATGTCAGGCTCAGCACCATGGCATTACAAAGCTCTCATCCATCCTGTCCAAATGGACACTCTGAAGCTGTCTCCAAAGACAATTGAGATGCATGGTCCTCCTATTGGGGAGGAGTTTTTACAATTCAGTTTTAGCCTGAAGTTTGAAGGAGCTATCCATGGTGCTGGGCTTGTTTTGGGTGTTGGTTCAGCACCTTGGATAGTACAGCCCACTGGCATTTTGGCACTACCACCATTGGTAGAAGTTGAATACACTGGGTAAGCTCCAGAACTTTCCAGAATCTGGAACTTGGGAGACAGATCAAGGTTCTTCTTTCATCTTGGCCTGAATATTGGGTGCATACTGATAAATTAGCAAAATAACTTCTTCCCTATTCTAAGTAAAAATAAATACAATGCAACCTCTGTATTCTCACCACTAGCACCTGCAGTTTCATTTATTCCAGGCATGGACAGACTCTGGCCCTCCAGTTGTTTTGGACTTCAATTCCCACAGTTGGCTGTTAGGAATTGAGGGAGTTGAACTTCGGGGGGGAAACAATGTGTTTACATTAATCAGAGACAATAGCTCTTTATGTTAGAAGGTTATGTTAAGAAGGAAGTCAACACGAGGCTTATCTTTACCAACACCAATTATGAAGAGTCAACTTCTGCCAGGGACTGATGGAATCAGGATGTTTTAGGCTGGAAAAAAAATCCATCATTCATTTAAAACTTTGGAACAACATCAGTGGAAATATTGATACATAAGAGATCTTATTACAATCCAAAAATTGTGACTGACAGCATCATTATTTATCTGACATGCTCTATTCAGAGATGGTGTACTTCAGAGTCATGATGTGTGGAGAGTGTCAGATCTCCAATGGAAAGTAGGATTCTGGTCACTTGGCCTCCTTTTCTCAAGGAAAGAGAAAGGAGTGTGATTTTGGAGTTGTTCTTAGGGAAAGTGGTTGCATTTTGGCATTTTGGAAGAATTGGAAAACTGGTAGATGTGCAAGGAGACAGCAAGAGAAATGGAGATGTATGCATGGTGATGGATCAATGCTTATGTGTGTGTGAACGTTGAGTAAAACTCTAATTCCTCTGTTTGTTTGTTTATTAGCCAATGTCACTGTAGGTCCCTCAACCTCTGAGGATGCCTGCCAGAGATGTGGGTGAAATGTCAGAAAAGAGTGCTTCTGGAAAATGGCCATACAGCCCGGAAAACTCACAGCAGCACAGTGATTCCAGCCATGAACGCCTTCGTCAACACATATTCAAAACGCTATTTTAGAGGAAAACCACCTCTGAGGATTCCATGCCTAAGAAAGCACTACAATATCCATGGGATTGTCATAAGTTGACAAATGATTTGAAGGCACATCGGCATGCATGCTATGGGGGGGGGGGGGATATTTTAAATGAGCGTGCAGAATCCATAGGTACTAAGTACTATATAGTACTAAGTGCTTATATAACAGGCTGAAACAATGAAAAGATCTTTACTTAAGTATACACATTGTGCAAATGGATGGAGCTTTCAAGATCTATAGCTGCTGAGATGGAAGGAATGCTATCATTGAAAAAGAAAAGTGCTTTGTGGGCAAGAGAGCTCATTTATCTATCTATTTACTTTATTTTTATCCTACCTTTCTCCCATTATAGGGGCTCAATGCAGAAGAAGGAAAGATAGCAGTTGACTTGACCTTCAACAAGCGTTTTCCACATTGAGTTTGAGTTGCCCTCCCTTTGCGATGGTGACATTGCCTCCTAGTGGCACATGAGAACGAAAGTACCAGAAAGCCATTTCCATAGGACAAAAGCAACAACTAGACTGCATCTACACTGTGAAATTAATGCAGTTGACATTACCTTTGGCAGAGAAGGCTGAAGACCTTCCATGATCCCATGGCATTGAGTCATGATGTTAAACTGCATTAATTCTACCATACAGATGCACCCCAAGAGTTGGGATCTTCATCCAGTGTATGTAAACACACAGACACATAGAGACAGAATGTACTTTCACTGCAGTTTGGCAAAAAGAGAGCTTCCAACCACAAGAAGAGAAGTACAAGCTGTTTCCGAAAGTTAATGGTTTATAGAGGAGACCATGTCCTCTAGATCAAAAGGGTGCAACAAAAGGCTCATGTTTTGGCCAAAATACAAAGCTGATGCAGCAAGTTAACTGTGGACCTGCGATGACTGACTCGTACATGGAACTAGACCAGTTTTGCTTCTTCAAGCAAAATACAAGGGTTGAATGAAAAGTAATGCCTCCACCTTCGTAACTCCTCAACTGATGGCACTACTGGTATGTGGCAGATACTGGCTTGTTCAGTAGACTCTCCTCTACAGTTTCATTTTGGTGAATAGTTGTGTTGTTAGAGTGCAAAATATATAACCCTGCACAGACAGTCGATCAATGAGACCTAAGCAACATGCAGTCATTGCATTCTTGACAGCAGAAGGTGTCACCCTAAAGGAGATTCATCAGAGAATGCAAGCTGTTTATGGTGATTGTGTTGATGTGAGTACTGTGCATCATTGGGCGAGTAAGTTTAAAGATGTTGAGGTGGGAACATCTGATTTGCATGACAAACAAAGAGTTGGATGTCCTGTGACAGCAACCACCAAGTTTCACAAGCAAAAGGTTGACAGATTGATTCAGGACGATCGTCGTATCACTCAGAGAAATTTCAAGCATAA